TATACACCTACGTATGTTTATCCGATTTTAATAGTTTTTGGCGTATACTTTTCGTGCCCCTTACTAGTAAAATGATTAAATTCAGCTTGATTCGTCAACTGACTTCAGAAGCTGGTTCAGTATTCTGTTGAGGATCCACGATTTCTTATAAACTCTTTGACACGCCTCGGCATCGTGCTGATAAGCAGTTGCATCCCATACCATAACTCCCACGGTGTGGTGAACATGACCGGTTACACGTAATCCGACAATTCGACCCCTCACAAAGTCACTTTTCTGGGACACCCGGCGATCTCGACGCACTCTAGGCATATTGCCCAATCACAAAAAGGCTTCTTAATAAGCTACACAAAATTGGAAATTTGACTGACACCGTAAATGTGCCAAAACTGAATGCTTCTTTATCACCAAACAATACACGCAGAAACCACAAAAACTTAAAAGAAAAACCTGACCGTCACTTGTTGTTCATGGCAAGATAAATCGATTTGTAAAATATTCTTGAATTCTGATGAACATGCGTAGTTGTTTATCTTTTTTGTCACTAGTATAAGTTATGGAATCCTGTTGGTACCATAACTATGTGGTACAAGCCCATTATTCCAACAAATTGAATTGTATGGCAAGCAAGCCCATTAATAAATATTTGCTTTTTACTTCTTTTTTTTCAATACAGCTCTGTTATTTTTCCTATAAAGATTAGAATTATATCGAGGCACAGACAGATTTTGTTCAATACTTGTAACCACTTTCCGTTCCTGCAATAAAGTCTGTTATTTTTTTACCATACGACGTGTGCATTCTTTATCTTATATTCAGTTGTAAAATCTGGCGTTATTTTTCGCAGGCTAAAGTATTTTAGAAATGTCCAGGAGCATATTGAGGTTACAGTGTGTCATGCGATCAGTCATTTCTTAAATGTGACTTAAAATCAAGAATGTTTTATGTCACGTATATGCTGGAATGAAGTAATCGTGTCTTCAATTCCCTCTCCCTCAATTTAAGGTTGCTAACATGATTTGTTCAAAAAATAAAGTGGGGATCTTTTGAAATGTACTCTACTTCTATATCACCAAAGAAAAGTGTTTAACGCCAAATAAAGTTTCTTTTTGCCTTCTAATAAGTTTTTCTAACAACCTCTGTTTGTTGTGTTAAAGTATCTAGTAGTTCCGTTCGCAGTTCTGAACTGATATTGAACTAATCGGAATCACATGAGTGCACAAGTCATGCCATTTGTACTTTGGAATAGAACACCCCCAATAGATGTTTCAAATCCTCATCTCCTGACGAAAACTGATCCAGCGTGATAATGATAAGCACAACACTCACATAGATAACAAATAACAGTCGGATGTCTTTATAAGCAAATAAGGTTATCGCCAAGGGTTGATGGAAACCTCCAAGTGCCCAAGGGCAAAGTGGGGCTCCAGACTCCGCTCTGTCCTGGGACTCCATCAGCCACATGTGAACCCAGATGGTCCTAAATAGCTTAAGACGGATATCGCGACAAATTGAGGTTATTGTCCATAAAGCAAGTTTGACTTTATTGATAGCACTATGACGTGTGTATAGAAAATAGTATCCCAAAGCTTGACGCCTGACCCAGTGCGCAGTAATCGAAGCAAGTACCAGCTGCTGCGCATACCCAGGGTATCCGAGGTTGAATCTGTAGGTATATGTTTATTTGATAAAACTGCGAATGATAAATAATATTAGAGGAGATTAGAGAAGGGTTGCCCGAATGTGTTAATATGGCCGATGTGTCAAAGTACAGCGTTCCCGAATGGGTCGGACATAATTTTCACAGAGATACTGTCCAAAAAATCCTCCAAATTCCTAATTTTTGGAAAGGAGTAGGGTTGACTCAAGGTGGGGATGCTTTCTCTCTGCGAAACGTGTGATTTTCTACAGAACATCATAACCCCAAAAGATTCTGTAAGTAAAAATCCCCAACGTGGCAACCCTGTCAAAGCATCACTGGTACACCAGGCGTTATTTTTACCGCACGAACAACATTGTTGTAGCATCTCCATGGAACCTTGCAAATGAGAAATGCCGTGCTAATGCGCTTGTTCAGTAAGCCAGAACTTTTAGTCCTGTCGTTATAATCCAGAATCTGATTCGGTACGATTCGTGAACGTCGCTAAAAGTTCAGGGTTTTATCACCGCAAACGCTGATGCTGCAAGTGCGCATGTGCAGTGGTTCAGAACCAATCCCGAACTGAAACCGGGAACGCGAACAACATTATTTTCATACAGTTTTACTCTGGTACTTATATTTATAAGATATTCGAATGAATTTTACGAATGCCGATGCGACTGCACATATTCCTTACATCCCATGTTTCTGCTCTACGCAATAATTAGGAATCCACCGACAGATCTAGGAAAATGAGCGACATGGTTTTCCGTGACGTAAATGTCATATAACATTGAAACAAACGTAACATCTCATTTTCGCGATTACAATACTTCCTCGTCGGTGACCTAGGAAGTAAAAGGGTAGAAAACTTCCTGCTTGGCACAGATCTCGGACAAGTTCGTACATTCTTTTCCAATATAAGCCCACACATGTACATACGGGAGAATAATATATGGGTCGAATATGCATTCAATGGTTTGTTTCGCGATAAATCGCAGGAAGCGTTGGATTAGCTCACGATTTGTTTATCGCTCGCAACGCTGCTATAAATTTTTCGCAAACCGTTTAGCAGCTGATTTGTTGTAAGGCCCGGATTAAAATTAACGGTAAGGAGGGATCTGCTACCGCCAGTTTCTTTTTGGTACCCTGAGCTTATCGACTGTACGTATGAGCTTAAAAACACATAAAATATCTGTCATGGTATCTTTATACTACGTGAGGATCTACTAGAGGAAACCTCTACATGCCAAGCAGTTGGTGCCTGATGACATGATAAGAAATTTACCAAATTTTTATACAACTGGCAAATGTGCAAAATGTACATACGTGGACCGTCATAACCTTCAAATATGCATTTGACAAATATCGGTATGCTGCGTTGCCGAAAGGTTAGTCGATGACGGTAAGGCAATCAGTAGCATACTGTGATGAAAAAGTAAGGTGAAATAGTTTACAAAATGAAAACTCTTTATTTATGCTTCCAAATCAATTTCATCCCCTTCAAAGTAATCCTCGTCCGATAAATCGCAACTTTTGCTAACGCTGTTTCCAGTCCTCGAAACAGTCGGAATTGTCATTTTCCGGTATAGCCTTCAAGATTTTTCGATTCGGTTTTTATCTCCTCAATCGTGTCAAAACGGCGTCCCCGCATTGGCCTTTTGAGTTTGCTCAATAGCCAGAAGTCGCACGGAGCCAAATCCGGTGAATACGGTGGTTGCGGAACGATATGAGATTAGTTTTTAGTATGACATGGTGCATTATCGTGATGGAGGAACCAAGAGTTGTTCGCCCATAATTCCAGCCGTTCCGGACGAATGGCTTCACACAAACATCGCATAACGCTCAAATAATATTCTTTGTTGACAGTTTGGCCTGGCGGAAGGAATTCGTAGTGCACCACGCCACGATAATCCAAGAATACTGTCAACATAACCTTGATTTTTGATCGACTTGCCTTCCATCTTGCTTCACCTTTTGCACGATATTCGCTGGATTGGTCGGTGGTTTCAGGGTCGTATGCGTAAATTCAAGTCTCGTTGCCAGTAATGATGCATTTCAAGTGGTCCTGATTGTGATTCTAGCACCAGTCGAGACTTGACGCGGCCAAATGCTATTCCAACACAATCAGCAATACCTCTATGTTTTATCTTTATTTTCGGTGCTCATGTGTTAGATCTAATGGGCATCATAACACCCATTAATTTTTTGTAATGAAATTCAAGTCGCTACTCAAACCATGTCAGCGCCATAGTCACGATTCTGTTAAAACATTATATTTTCAAAATAAATAAAAGCAGTTATATTTTGCAGCAATTTGCATGCTGCATAATAATTGTTTTTTTATTCGATACCAAATGTAAGTTACTCGGGATTATTCCATTTAAAAGTTCGATTTTAAGCACGTTTTTATTTGTATATAATCCCGGCGGGAACCAGTAGCTTTTTATAAAAAATGATGTGCGTTGCATATCCAAAATTGTAAACATCATAATGTTAACGAATAGAAAATGCAAATGCAGATTTATAGTGCCAAGATTATTTTTGCGGAGAGGAGGATTACCTAGTTATGATAACCTTAGGCAGTTCAAAAATCGGATTAACGTGCTGCCCTAGTACTTACGCTTCTAACGACGCGGCTGCTTTGTTGTATGAAAAGCGCAGTACGTTATCCAACAAAGGCAACATAGCTCAATCAACATTTAAATGACCACTATATAGCGCTGACCAATATCGAGAAGTTGCTTCAACGTAATTCTATACCAGGAAGTGCTTTACTATTTTTGGTTAATTTTGTGAAAAAATCACGCAGAATTGGAATCTGTCAGGTCGACTACATCATAGTCAATAATATGTTCAGTTAACAGTTGACATTTTAATTTCATTTCTACGCGTTCTCGAAATACATCGTTACCACTGATTCCAATTTTTGTATCTGCTTTGATCTTAATGTGTGCCTACCATTTTAGGACTTATATATATGTTCAATTGTTTTTCCTCGCACAATGTAGATTTTAAAAATTGCATTGCTTGAACAATATTTGACCTGATATTTTTCATGATGAGATACTGATGTCTGATTCAAGTAATATGTTCACAATCTGGGGTGTGCTTTGTTTAAATGATGGTTAACAAACAATTTTCTAAAAAGCAATTTTTCAAAGATGTTATTATTTTCTTTGCCCATCTTAAACACTACGTCCCTGCTTTGTATTTTTAACCCGGCTTCTCGCCTATTTATAACAAACGTATTCAATCCAAGACAGTCCCCGCATATTTACACTGGAACTTAGCCTAAAAATACCTTCGGGAGTCACGTCGTTGCTATGTCCGTCGCATGCCCGAAACAGTTGAAGTACGACACAGTCGAAGTACGAAACACCGTGCCGGTCATAGGCTACTTTGACAGAAAGTGTCAAAACTAAGAACTCGTTTGATAGTACTGAATCGTCGCGGAAACCTTACAAACCGTGTCGAATAATGGACGATCTTATATTACTCGGCTTTTTTATACAGTTGAAATCTTCTTTAGCTTTTTCCGGGATATGCATAGTGTACGTAACAGAGAGAATTTTGTGGTAAAGTTCAGTGGCGTTTAATTGATAGCGTTCAAGAGAGATTTATGAAAAGGCGGTTTGTGCTGGAAAACTTGTGATAATTGAAGGCTTTGTAGGCATTGAAAAACTTTTGTGGTATCTCTCGGGTTATGGAGATTGTTATGCGGATCTAGAAGTTTCCGAAGAATATAGTGACAAAACGTGCTTGTGCGTGGGCTTTTTATACGGCTTCAATGGGTAGAAAAGTTCGATACCCGAATATACAGTAGAATTTAGTATAGTGCAGTTTATAAGGTGTGTTGCTACGACTGCTGGAGCTTATCGAAATATCTTGGTGGATGCCTCAGAGCTGGTGATACGATTTCAAAGAGACGAAGGTTTGTAATACATATACTAAAGACTCTTCTTCACACTGAGGACCCGCTCAAACGATTTGCAGTTCAAGAAAAGTCTGCAAGACATGAGCTTTGACAAATATTTGTCATATTTGCATTCCATTTAAAAATGTAGGTGAACTCAAACTTCGAGCAGAACGAAGCGATATTGGGTATAGCCCACCGTGAACAATTAAGTATAATAGAATTGAGCTGAGACGATAAACGGTTTTTTTGAATGGGATACGTCACACACGAATAATTTTAGATTCAGCGGAAATGATACGTCACAAACATTGCATTCTAGTGAGAAATCTACTGAAACAATATGGCACCTGAAGGCGAAATTGGAGCCTTTATTTAGAACTATACTGAAAAAACGTGACCAATTCAACCGTCTTTCTGGAAAAACTTCATTATCCGTAATGAACTTTTTAATTATCCCAAGTAACTCAATTATGCGGCTCAATTTGTGGGCAGACGACCAACATGGCTAACTACAGACCAATCACTCTATTATCTAATATCTCCAGAACCTTCGAGAAAATCCTAAAAAATCGCATAAATAACTGTATAAATCAGAAAAGCATATTATCAGAAAAGCGCTTCTGATTTGTTGAAGGCAAATCAACAGAAGACGCGATCAAGTATGTCACCTCAAGATTGTCAAAGCATGTAGACGACAATATACCTTGCATCGGAATTTTTTTTGTCAAAAGCTTTCGATACAGTTAGTCACGGTGGACTCCTAGTTACCCTTCAAAACATAGGATTTAGAGGTACATCATATAACCTTTTGGAATCTTATAACTCTGGTAGAACTCATACGGTAAAAACTGATAATACTTACAGTAAAATAGCGACGGTCGAGTACAGGGTTCCCCAGGGAAGCATCTTAGAGCCTTTACTCTTTCGCATATATTTGGCAGACTTGTGCAAACAAAAAATTGAAGGCGACATCGTGAGCTACCCTGATGACACTGCGGTGATATATATAAACGAAAACTGGACAGATCTAAGAAACGCAGCACAAAATGATGTGTGTAAAATCAAAGATTGGTTTGGTAATAAGTTATTAACAATACATTTTGAAAAAACTAATTTTATTCCCTTCACACCATATGCCAACAAAGTGCCATCTTACCATCATCTACAAATAAAAAACACTGAGGATAATAAATGTAAGCTAAATAAAGTAGGTATTTAGGAATTTACATAGATGCACACCTCAGGTGGGACATGCATATAACGTATGCCGCGAAAAAGTTGCAATCCGTTCTATATCGAATAAGGAAAATTAAAAACATACTAGAGTATTGTCAATTAAAAATACTATATCATGCGTTGGCAGAATCTCACATAAGTTATGGTATAATAGCATGGGGAGCAGCAAACATAACTCATACATTCAAATTAGAAATAACTGAGAGAAATATTTTAAAGACAATATCTCGTAAACCCCGACTGAATCCAATTAACGATCTCTATAAAGAAACTAGTATATTAGACATAAGGCAATTATACCTACTAAAATTTTTAATGGTGCAACACATATCCCGTCCTTCCAACCGAGAGCCGATACATTCTTACCAATCAAGAAACAGGAATTATTTAAAGGTGCCAAAACCAGAGACAGGTATAATGCTCAGATCGTATTCTTACCTAGGACCAAGATGTTACAACCTTATTCCACAAGACCTGAAGATGATACGTTCCAAACACACATTTAAAAGGAAAGTAAAAGGCTGGATATTATCTATGCCCAGACAGAGAATTCACGAAATCGTTGACTTAAAAAGATTACACTTAAAACCAATTACTAGAATAAAGTTACAGAATTAGACAAAATACCCTATACCCAACACTACCGATTTAGACAATATACCCCTGCTATACTTATTTGCCGATTTTGAAAACATACTCGATATATCCCCCAAACAGAGCACAGAAAACAAAAATACTAATAACCTAAGATAGACTTTGTGCCCTAAAAGAGATATTTCGCCTCAAAAAGGATCTATAATTAAATGAAGCCATCCATACTCCCACTTTGCAGATAATGTATTTTAAAATCCTATTTAATGATGTTGTTGTTCTTTTCTTAGAAAATCACGTGAGTCTTTTTATTTCTAGTTTAAGTAGTACGTAATTATTCATAAGACTAGCCTTCTGTGAGTTTTCTACCATGTTTATTGTTCTATAATAGGTCATTTCTAGTTATCTGCTTATAGTTTGGACAATAAACATTATTATTATTATTAATTAAACTGAATTTTCTTGATACAGTTTGAAAATATCTTACTATTTGCTTGAAAATAGCAAATCATGTACCTGTTTTATTACTCTGTCTAATTAGTTTAGATAAATCAATTTATGCAGAAAAGGAAGGTTTAAAACAGTTAAACGTTTTAATAAAAACAGTTAAACTGTTTATTTGAATCGTCTACTCGGCAGGACGTGGCTCCTCGCCCGTGAATGATCGGGAGTTTGCGGCATGCGCAGTGGCGGTGACACATACAGACATAGGTATTCTTTTATGTCCTTATAGTTCAACGATAGAAGACTGTTGCGTCAATTTTCTATCAGTATGAACTCAAATGACGTCGAATTTATTAATATATGTCAATGCGTTAAATGCTTGTGAGTGCAACATTGTTCTATTATTACAAATAAAAGTACAATTTTTGTACACACGATCAATTGGGCCCTATCCAGTTTCAGTCTCATCTCTTTTCCTGCTTTCTGAACTTTAAACAAAGAATTGCTTCTAGTGAATGGTAGTGTATTAGTCCAGATATAATATCCATCATTCAGTGTTATATAAAGTTCCAAAAATTACCCAAAAATGCTTTCGAATCTAAACAAAATCATTTATCAAAAATAGGTAAAAGCTTTTACCTACACTAATTAATCACATCTACTAAAACATTGATAGGATTTGTAGCTATATGTTTTTAATTTTCTTATTTGATAATGACATTACTATGAAACTGGACGATTCATTGAGCTTTGAATTTCTATGGCACTCCGTTACACTAAGCCTGTATTTGTTATAATATCTCTGGAACTTCGGATCCAACTTTTTAATTAGCAATTTACGTTTCATTACTGATTTTATCTAGAATTATTTGTAGTTTCTCAAGAAGCGCGTCGATTTGACCGTCACTTGGACTATATATAGGAACGACGACTAAGACGAGCTGCTTCAAGGTTATTTTAAGGGCTGCACATTCAAACACACCGCACTGCGAGATGTTGTTGAGATCTTCACGCACTTTCGCTCTACCTTGAAGTATATCTTGGTTGCAGCAGGTAGCACACCCTCCATGATGACCTCGTTCACGGCAGAAGCATAAGACGAGCTAAAAATTTTTAATCTTGATAGCTTGAATTTGCTGTGATCTTGCCAGTGCTCTGTGATAAGGGGTTGTCCAAAACGGACGCAGGAAAGTAAACGCATATTAAAACAAGAAAGATTGATATTCAAATCAAGTTGGGTACTTTATTTTGAAGGTTCATTTATACCATTTATGTATGAAAAATAATATCGCTCTAATGTTCACCACGACTGGATTTACAGACGTCCACACGATGGTCGAAATTTTCGATGACATTTTGCAACATGGTCGGTTTTATGGCATTTATCTCGGCAATGATGTTGTTTTTGAGTTCTTGGAGGGTGGCTGGTTTGTTGACGTAGACTTTGCTTTTCAAATATCCCTATAAAAAGTCCAAGGGAGTCAAATCGCACGATCTTGGTGGCCATGGCACATTTCCTCTGCGCGAAATCACGCGATCACCGAAGAAGGACTGCAATCGATGGATATTGACGTTGGTTGTGTGGCATGTTGCACCGTCTTGTTGGAAATAAACATCGTCCATATCCATTACTTCAAGTTGCGGCAAAAAATAGTCCTCTATCATCACGTGATATCGCTCAGAATTGACGATAACGGCGTCCCCGGCCGCATTTTCGAAAAAGTAAGGTCCGATGATGCCTTTTGACCACAATGCACACCACACAGTCACTTTTTGAGGATGCATCGGCTGCTCTTGATACTCACTGGGATTTTCGTTCGCCCAGATGCGGCAGTTTTGCTTGTTTACCGTCCCATTCAAAGTGAAATGCGCTTCGTCGCTGAACATGATTTTTGATGAAAAATTGGCATCAGTTTGGTGGTGTTCAAGGAGCCAATCTGAGAACGTTCGGCGCGAAAAATGGTCGGACCGACGCAGCTCTTGCTTCAATTAGATCTTGTAGGCGTGTACATTCAAATCCTTGTGGAGAATGCGGAGCAAACTGGTTCTCGAAATGCCCAATTCTTGGGATCGACGCGTTGTTGATTGTTTCGGATCATCTCTCACACTCTCCTTCACAACAGCAATATTTTCCGGTGTGCGAACGCTCCATAGTCGGCCAGAACCTGTCAGATTTGCCACAGAACCTGTTGCCTCGAATTTACGCACCAGACGACCGATGGTTGTTTCGTTTGGGCGGTTGTTGCGACCGAAATGTTCACGAAGCGCGCGAAATGTGTTTTTTATTTTTGCACCATTTTTGTAGTGCGCTTGAATAACTTTAATGCGGTCTTCAATCGAATACGACTCCATAGCGATCAATGGTAAACATTCAACTAACAAAATGACATGTCGGTGCCAGAAAACAAATATGGCGTCTATGTCAAATTGACGTTTACTTTCCTGCGTCCCTATTGGACAACCTTTTACATGCAAAATGGCACGGATCGTGGTTATTTATATTCCAGCTCGCTTACGCAATTTCACAATGATTGAAGGTTGTAGTGCTGGATCCCTTGAAAAATTTATGATTCGATTTTTCACATAGGGCCTGATTATTGTGTTTCTAGGCTAAACACTGGAGGCAGTGACCCTTGAAGCTTCAGATCTAAGAACAACTACCTTGAAAGCCGCAATATTCTCGGACTTGATTGGTAGTTTTGTTATTTCAAAGTGTTGATTTGTTGTATTGCTAAGTGTTCGTCAGTTACTTCTGGTGACAGTCGAGATATGAACATTGATGTACTTCCTTCCACGGCCGCTATGTCAGAGATCTCAGCACTGCTCATGACAGTTTGTTTGTTTTCCCTACGAGTTTTTCGCTGTACTGTTTGGAAATCATCTTGATCTTGTAATGCATTATTTTGATTCTCCCAATGTTTGTTATCATTATTTAGCTGGTTGACGCTGATGGTAGTGAGTTGCCTCGTCGGTACCACTTTTTGTTGATTTTTGCTGACTATGTGTTACATTTTTTGCCTCTATACGTTCTTCCTGATTACTACGAAGGTCAGATTTTTGTTTTGATTTTCCGTTTCTAGATGTCTCTGGTGGTACTGTTTGCTTATCGTTTAATAATGCAATTGAGGTTTCTTGCTCCTCTCCTTTTTTTCTAGATGTGTGAGCTTTCTCAGGATGTTTATTTCATTTTGCAGTTGCTTGACTGTGTCCGAGTTTTCCATATACCTGGATTTTTCACTATGACCTTGATAGGTTATGGTCTGTACACTGTCCTCAAAGACATCTTCGAGAACCTTTTTAGCACCCGCGTTCCGTAATTTCAGCACTATTTGTGAAGCTAAATAGTATTTAAATTTTCTGGGAAGTGTAAGTCCAGAATGATATCGATTAATTCATTTCTCCGGAGGTTGTTGAGCTCCGACGAGGCGCCTGTCGTTTCGATAGCCCATCATGAACGGGTACTTGGAGATTAGGCCAATATTGATAACTGAAGTTAAATGCAGCCTTCTGCAAATGACGCTGATTGCCCCTTTTGAGCTGTGATAAACTTGATCCAGCCTGTTTAGATATTTAGTTAATTTTGCATTCCAGTAAGGACAATCGGTCAACTTTGGATAAATGGACTAATTCTCACATCTTCTGTAGGTATGGTACATACACAAAGATTCAAAATAAATGCACCAACTATGCCATCTCGGCATTGTACTATCCCCATTCTATATAAAAAATATATTTGTAATCAATACATCAATCTTCAATCTTGAGCAAAATAGTAATATGGTATGATTCGTGTAACAGACATGGCTTAAACGGATGCAGAACCTATAGTTACCAACAACATTTAGCGAGACTTTTAGAAATATTTAACACTTTATTTTGTTCAGTTTTGCCTCCCAACCAGTTACAAAATACTCAAAATATCCGTTTGCGTTTCTGTTGCCTACGAATGATATAAGCACAATTCAGGTAAGAAATAACCATCACATTTTTCAATGTGTCCGTGACAAACACGCTTTTTCCGATAACTGACTTTTCTTTGAATATAGAAAGCTCCTGTTTGTATCGTTTTTAAGAGCGGACTCTCATTTAGACAAGATATTTTAAAAAACTTCAGTTTTTCCCTTCTATTCAGCGAATTATGTGAATTCTCATAATAGTCAAAATTTCTAGTTTTTGGTTTTGTCAGTCCGTGATCTCCAGTTTCACAAATCTTCATACTAAGAAATCCAATTAAACTAGTTTGTGATTCCTCAGAACTGCATGACAAAAACCGCGTCTTTCAGATGGGGCTCAAATAAGGCCACAGAGTCATGTATACTTCTTAAACCGCTCATTCCATGGGTGCATATTCCTAACAGTTAACATAAAGGTTATTTGTTGGGAACAACCGATTCTAATTCTTTACCATCCTCAGAGACATTACAGTATATGTAGATGACTCGTCAGAGTAAGAACTGATAAAATAACACAGTACAAAAAATGTATGTGTAAAACAAATAAAACAAAGAAACAGGTAAATAAATCATGAAGCAACAAACTCGGAGACGGCGTATTATTTACTTAAAAGAAATTCTTAGTTTAGGCTTAGAATTGTTAATATTTTCACGCCCTTCATGGGACTTGGTAGCATATTGAATTTGCGTCGACCGAGTAATTTTGATCAGACTTCAATACTTTGCAAAACACACTCAGGTCTCCAGGGGCTTGATGCCAAATGAGTTTCGACCGTTGAAATTGATTTCGATGGCGCCTTGTGACGATATACTTGATTAGCTACGATAATTTTGACACTGCCATGATAATTTGAATATAGGAGCGAATCAAGCATATCGAAACTCATTTAGAACCAAGCCCCAGCTTGTCTGGTCAAATAAAATATAAAATTGCTTGAAAACCTATTCTTATTGATGAAAGTATAGACATGCATTTCGCATTAAAATATTGATGGTAAAGATAAAATCTTAACCTTAAATCTTAAAATCCTACCGACCTCTAGCAATAGCAATTCCACGTATGCCACCCAGCACAGCCAAAACCATAAAACATTCTCCATTGGCGACCTATCTTTACTTTCCATCAACACGCACACTTCACGCTTCATCCAAAACAAATATACACTCTATCGTACGTTGTAATAATTACCCGCCAAGTTTATTTTACTATTTCTCCGATGATTTCTTATGTTGGCGATTTTACTGGTGCTTAAACGGAAATTGCACTTGGACCTCCCAGACAAATTTATGCGATACTAAGGAATAAAATGGTGTTTGAATTAACAGCTTGCTTTGAGTAAATTAAAAAAAAAAATGATGCTGTGATAACATGGTCTGACATATCAGCCAAAATGTAACAAATATTTTGCTACTAACCTACTGACTGGGAAATCGACGGCCCATTGTGAATTTAATAAAATGTTTCGTCTCGATTGACGTTGATTACTAATCGTTCGTCCACCTCCTAACTGTGCATAATGCCCAGATAAGGCCTAGATTCGAGTATTGCTAACACGTTTGGGGTAATGGCATCCCGACTACATTATTCATAGTCGATGCTATTCAGAGGAGGGCTGTCCGACTTATCGGTGACACTTCTTCAACGGACGGTCAGATAGGCCGCTGGTGCTCTGGCGCTCTTCTACCGCTACTCCAACGAGCCTTGTTCCTCAGAGCTCGCTTCCATGATGCTGTCGCATGTTGAGCTCGCCAGACGGACTCAACGCGGATCTGCCTCCCATACCAACTCTGTCGAACTTCGTACATTCATAAATGGCCGATGCAGCCGCTTCTTCGCTTTCTTTTTTATACTCCAACTACCACGAAGGCCTAAGGCCTAAGCACCCATTGGGTACCGTGGGACTATAGGGGGATACATGGGAAAGGGGGAACGCCACATGGACTCTGGCGAGGGAACACGTGTGCATGCAACATGCACACATTCTGGCTCCGCCTACGAGATCTGCCGGGTGGTACCTCCGCGTTCGACAGTCAGAGACCGTCTACCACATTCGGACAATCACAACATCCATAGAAGAGAAAAATTTCTCCTGGGACGGGACTCGAACCCGCACAGCGCACGGCGGCTGATCAGGAGACCGAAGAGTCTACTACTGCGGCCACCGCTGCTGCCTCGAGTGTCCAGATTGTGGAACATTCTGCCTAAAGATCGAATCAATAAGGTGTCTCCAGCTTCTTTATTGCTCCGGGGCGATGGTATTTAGGTTTTTGAATATTCAGCTACTTCGGTAGGTATTTAAACATCTGGGTCATGGCTTGATCTGAGTGCCGCAAGTGAAATATCTGTGGAAGCTTGCAAACCATATTTTGTTGGTCTGATTTTTGAGCTCAAACCGGTGTTTACGAGAAGCGAATTTATTGAGAGATTAATACTAGTTTCAGTAATACTATCTTGTAGGGACAGTTTCGTCAGAGCGGAAGCTACAACAAAAAATGCGGCAAAAAGCTCCTAAAAACAGGAGATCCAAAATATCTGCATGTTAAAAGTATTCTTCAAACTCACTCACTGTGGTTATGTTATCACTTATGAGTCTCCTGAGATAAATTACTATACAACTACGGACCAAACACTAAGCTAAACATCTAAATAGAAGTTAAGATTTTCACAGGCAAAAACTGAAAAAACAAAAATCGCTCGAACTTTGATTTTTGACATTTTATAGGATCCTGATCATTTATAGAGAAATTTTGCAGGGATTAAAAATTGTATGTTGAGGTTTTAGCGGGAGGAAGGTAGATTTCCCCGTAATTTTTTCGTTAAAACTGGAATGATAGTGATATACAGGGTGTTTCAGTTTATTGTTGCATAACTTTAAGATTCGATAGAAATTTTAAAATCAATGCATAAAGTCTATATAAACATGGGTCGAAAAATGCGTGGCTTCGGAAATACAGGGTGTTTAAATTTACTTTCTAAAATAGTTTTTTTTTTAAATATTTTGAACAATATTTGATATATAACAGTGAAAATTGGTATACACGGGTTTTTTGGTACGACAAAACGAACCATAGTTTTACTGAAGCCGCTAGAGGGCGCTCTCTACTGTACCTGTAGTGTATTAAAATGACCGAAAATTTTTTCTGAGTGCAATTTTTTGCTTTTTGAATAAAAAAATTGATTCTTCGCACTTTTCAACATAAAAGAGCTCTCTTGTGAATTTTCGTTATAGTTAGCCGTTTTTGAGATATTTCGATTTTTAAGGTTCGATGCATTTTTAATTATCCATGATAAAATAACGTTGAAAAGTCAGTATCTCTATAATTTTTAGAAGTAGGCTGAGCCTGCAAATATATTTGAAATTGAAAGCAGAATCAGGTTAAACGTCAATTAGTTGACAGTTAGTTTTGTTGTCTGTTGAAACCTGAAACGTTTTTTTGCAATTGTGAATGCACGAAATTTAGTTTCTTTTACCTGTTTTTTTTGTAAGTTTTATAAAAATGCCATTTTTATTCTCCAATCAAGAGTTAGCAAATATTCATTTTGTGTATGGCTTTGTAAATGGAAACACAGCAGAAGCAGCCAGAGAATCCGCACGAAGATTTCCAAACATACGACATCCAACTCGCTCAGTATTTGTAAGAGTGCATCGCCAAATAATTGAAAATGGTTTTGGAAAACTTCAAGGGGATCAAAACATAAATGTTCGTCAGCGCAGATTTACCCGTATGATTCTGCGTGAGTTTGATAGAGATCCGACCATAAGTGTTAGGAGAGTTTCTGGTGCCCTGGGAATTTCAGCAAGCCATGTTCACCGTGTTCTTAGAAATGACCATAGACGTCCTTACCATTTGCAACATGTGCAAGGACTACAGAAAGGGGACGGAAAACGAAGAATCACATTTTGTCAGTGGATTCTTGATAGAACTGATAATAATATGGAGTTTTTAAGTAACGTTTTATGGACCGATGAGTCATGCTTCACTAGACGTGGAGCGGTAAATTTTCATAATCAACATATTTGGTCGCATGAAAATCCGCATGCAGTTCAGGAAAGAAATTTTCAGCATGAATTTAGTGTGAACGTGTGGAGTGGTATCTACCGTAATCGACTATTTGGACCCTACCTTTTGCCTGCAAGGTTAAATGCTGCGACCTCCTTGGAATTTTTAAAGGCTGAACATGCAAATATGTGGGATGATGTTATGTTAGATTTAAGAAGATTGGCCTGGTTCCAGCTTGATGGTTGTCCAGCTCATTATTCGAGAATAGTTAGAAACTGGCTGGACGAAAATTATCCAGAAAGATGGATCGGCCGTGGAGGACCAGTCGCCTGGCCTCCACGATCCCCTGACCTAAATCCATTAGATTTCTGTGTGTGGGGATTTCTAAAAGAAAAAGTGTACCAGACTCCCGTAATCACAAGAGATATGCTAATAGACACAATCAGGAATGCATGTGATGAAATAAGGCCTTATTTGAATAATGCTATACCACGTTCGATCATTCGTAGATGTGAATTGTGTATTGAACAATTGAGTTTACATTTCGAGCAATTACTTCAGATTTTGTATGTTTGTCCTAATTATCCAATAGTATTTTAGTTGTAAATAATTAATTTAATTTGTTAAAAATGATATTGGAAAATTAAACAAATTAATATTCTGTTTTGTTGTGTTTATTTGGAGTTAGGAATTATTGCTGTGTTTAAAAGCACAATCTAAACGATCATCTTAATTACTTGTAATGCCCAAATCGAAAATGTAAATAAAACATTATTTTCCCATAAATAATTAAAAAGGCATCGAACCTTAAAAATCGAAGTATCTCAAAAACGGCTAACTATAACGAAAACTCACAGGAGAGCTTTTTTATGCAGAAAAGTGCGAAGAATCAGTTTTTTTATTCAAAGAGCAAAAAATTGCACAAAGAAAAAATTTTCGGTCCTCTAGCGGCTACAGTAAAACTATGCCCATGGTTCGTTTTGTCGTACCAAAGAACCATTGTATACCAATTTTCACTGTTATGCATCAAATATTGTTCGTAATATTTAAAGAAAACTATTTTAAAAAGTAAATTTAAACACCCTGTATTTCGGAAGCCACGCATTTTTCGACCCATGTTTATATAGACTTTATGCATTAGTTTTAAAAGTTCTATCGAATCTTAAAGTAATGCAACAATAAACTGAAACACCCTGTATTTTCGGTATACACGAGCCGAATAACTCAACCGGTATACGTCTGTCTGCTTCAAATGCTGGATACGTGTGTTCGTGTATACAGCATCGTGCTCAGCTTGAGAGTGCCGCATCAGGTAGAGTTAGCACGTTGCCGGGTGGTTGGTACTATCCGTAGGACGATAGGAGAAACCTCAATGTTGTCAAGCCTGTGAGGACTATGATTTCAATTTATAAGCATCTTTGACTAACATGATCCATTTAATGCGTTTCTAAGTTCGTCCTCAACTTTCTACTAAGAGAGATTAACATGTGATTAATATAATCCTTTACGACTTGATGAAATCGTTGCTCAAGAATTGCAGAGTCTACCTACTTGTCGATATTCTATATTTCTATAGATATGAACATGCCAACTCCTATATTCAAACTAAATTTGTTCCAGGAGCATACAAACGAGTTATTGGGAGTCGTGATTTTCTTCTTATTCATTGAATTGCCTTTTCCGAGCTTCAATGCTCACTCGGTTGGCAATTATAAAAAAAATCAGTTGAATTGATTCCTCTGTTATAGAAGAGGATCTATATTTGTAATACTTATACTGCTGTCTTTCATTGTGAAATTGTAACTGCTTGGATTTGCAGTTTTTGGAAATCGGCCCAGCGGCGGCAGAGAAAATTCCAATCCAAAAAAGAATCAAAATCGCTCAGGCTTGGCTTTTTGATGTTTCAAAGGGTCACAACCATTTTTGAAGAAAAATTAGATATAAAAAGCTGATGGTGGGAGGCTGTAGGGGGTGAGGGAAGGCGTAATTTTTGATGTATCCAACTCCGGTAGTTCTACGCACATACTAGACATATTTCACATATCTTAGAATTTCCTCGTACATTTGTCTTTAAAACTAAAATATTTACAGACGCTAATCGTGTCTCGGTCTTGCGTCTCCTTCCTTCAAGCAACAAACTCTATGTGAGTATGATCTGAGAAGTGATCTACATGAACGAGCATAATTTTATGACATTGCGAGGTCAGACAAATTTGAACTTTATTGTATAGTATATGAGTACGTATCAAGAGTTTTTATAATCAGTTATTAAATAATACCGACAAGTAGTTTTACACCAAATCTGCAAAGAAATGAGGCTACCGTGTACGGACACGCTCTGCAATTATTTTTTATGGAAAGCTCAAATGGTGCAATTATGGTTTCAGCAAAACCTATGTATTCTTAATGCATTGTTAATCATGGACAATCTAAACTGGAAGTTGTTTCTAAGGCGTGCGAAGTACAGAGTCAATCTACTTGACGCTACTTTCTTGTCTAGCCGAAACTCAATATGTACAACAAATACATTTACTTTTGAGCAATAGTGTACGTACGTATAAATAAAGCACATTAAGAACAGCTGATAATGATGCTGCACACATACGCGGATCTATTTTTGATATCGCTGGAAAACGAGAGTAGAGATTTCCACAGTGGCGTATTTCGCATCGGTGCCAGCTGAGCTAATATTTGAAAAAAATAGAGATCAAGGATGTAATAGACTACGAAATTGTTTCGAAAATATTTTCGTTGGCAAAATACTCGGTTTTGCTGTTACTCACGCTCACGCATTGCGGAAATCATTTGAGAGAGGAGAAGCCTTTTAATTTATCTTGAGCCGTATTTGGAAGCGTTGTCGTCGCAAAATAAATCAGAGATGTACAAGCAGTGATTGCGAATAAAAACAGAATACAATCGTATAACGACCCCAGGCTAATATTGACTTACACACAAAAGTTCAAGCCTAAATTTCATCGGTATTTGTCTCTTCTGTTAGGTCATTCCATCAGATTCGGCTCAACATTAAAAGCTGTAATTCACAAATCGGTGATGCTTTCTGCGCCATGAGCTAGGAAGTATAACCGTTCCTATTTTTCTAGATTATCTCTGTGGGTCGTCACGGGTATTACGTATCTTCGAAAGTGACGTTATATCAATTTTTTTTACATTATGTAGGGTTTTCTACAAGATGTTAACTTAGCACTTAGTTGTAACATACGTGTTGCCTAAACGTCACGAGGCTTCAGTTATTAATGTTTGGCTCCCACGTGATGTGAAATCTGCTTTAGAGATGGCATTACTGGAGGTCTAAGCTATCAGTTGTATGTGTTGATGATAATTCCATTGGATTATTGTCTCAAATACACTTACATCAGATTCAAAACTAGAAATTAGTTGCGCAAACACTTTTTCTTGTCCATTCTGGAAATTACATTCATAAAGCATAACTTAAATAACTCTTCAGGCACAGCTAATAAATATACTTGATTGACAGCATATTCAGTAATGATTTCCTCAAACAGCAGATATCAATTGTTTTATACACATGCAGCCCAATACTCATAATCGTCCGAATGCGATCTTGCTATTCAACCAACTTTCTTCTCAGAGATGAACACTACAGACTACTCGGTTTGACGAAACATATGCAACCAACAATGCGTGTAGTTTAGTTGAGTCATTCCTCCATAGATGGAAGCTTTGGATCGCGCTCACAACGATACTAGTGAGCAAATGTGGAATGACTGTTCCCACCCTAAAAACTACCTAATATGCAAGATGACATCTTATAGGTTTTTTTGACGTTTTATAGGTTTTTTACGTAAGAGATTTTATGGTGGTAATTTATATAAATGTGTGTCACCACACTTGAATCTGGGAAGTGATCGTTAAAAATCGATAAAAGGTAATCAGCTATTCTTGGCCGAATGTGCACTTAATCTCAGATAAAATGATGACAGTTGACAATGAATTTAGAAAATTCAAACTAAACGTGTGCCAGAAATTGTCTATTTCAATAGAAAAGCGATATTTGTTTTATATTGGATAGTGTGTTCGGGATAAACTGGTGTTGTTTTCAATGTATTATCTTTGAACAAAATGGCATTGAGCAGATTATGTAATATGGCGTATTAAGACGAGAGTGAGAACGAGGATTTTATCTTTGGGTGCCCACGATGGATTCGTGAACGAAAAGCTCACCTAACAATTCCGACGATGTAGACTTTCAGCAGCCATTCAGGCTATCCAAACCTGTGACGCAAGACTTACCGGATTCTATCATAGACCTGTGGAAACACTTATTTTAATCACGTTTCCTTTTATATTATAGGATGATCCGCTATTTTCAGACATTTTTATACAATATAGAAAACCCACCAACAACAACAAACAACTAGAAAAGTTATTTGAGTCATATGTGAAAAGTGATATTATAAAAATAATGACCACAGAAAACATAAAGGACCGCACTGGCGGATCTGCGATGCCTGCATTCTCATTACGCTGTTGTCACGACTTGTTCTAAACTGGTTCGATACACTGGACAACAAATTTTAGTTTTTTAATTGTATCTTGTGGGAAAAGTGCACTTCTTTGTTAATTTTGGGGCGCTGAATCCAAAAATGACAATGAAATAAAAAAATTAGTTGCAGTTTAGAAAAAAAACTTTTTATCTTTAAGGATATATTAAAAAAAGTAACAAGATTCATATACTTATAAGAATCACTATATGCGCTGTCTTTTTGCTCTTGTTTTATGGATCGTTTCTGGAGCATCTCTACCAAGAGTCCAACAGTAGTCTGCAAGCATGGAAGGATTCCACTTTCCCTGGTACCTTTTTTCCATTGTTGAAATATCCTGATGAAAACGTTCGCCGTGCTCATCACTTACGGCTCCGCAATTGTCAGGAAAAAAGTCCAGGTGTGAGTGTAGGAAATGTATCTTAAGAGACATATTACAGCCCATCTTTTGATACGATGACAGCATATTTTTGATAAGGGTTTTATAGTTGTCAGCTTTTCTATTTCCCAAGAAATTAGTGACCACCAGACGGAAATCATTTCAAGTTTTTTCAATACCTGTTAAAGTGTTTTCAAACTGTGTATCTTTCAAATTATTTCGAATCTGTGGCCCAACAAAAATAACTTCTTTAACCTTTGCCTCACTTAGTCTTGGAAATTTCTGAGGCAGGTATTGAAAAGCTGACTCATCTCTATCTAATGCCTTGACAAAGTTTTTCATTAGGCCCAACTTGATATGCAGTGGTGGTAATAAAATTTTTTTCGAATCTACTAATGGCATATGCTGTACATTTTTTTGACCTGGCTCTAGGAATTGACGAACAGGCCAGTTTTGTCTGGTATAATGAAGTGCCTTTGCCCGACTGTCCCATTCACACAAAAAACAGCAAAACTTTGTGTAGCCTAGCTGCAGCCCAAGTAAAAGTGCAACAACTTTCAAATCGCCACAAATATGCCATTGGTGCTTATCGTATTTTATGCATGTCAATAGGTACTTCATATTGTCATATGATTCTTTCATGTGAACTGCATACCCTACAGGAAGAGATGGTAAAATATTTCCAATATCCAATAACACTGCCTTTAAACTCAATGTTGAACTGTCTATAAACAATCTCCATTCTTATGGGTTATAGTTTATATTTAAAGCCGCCAGTAAGCCGTTAATGTTACTGCAGAAAACCAAGTTATTCTCCATATTGAAAAATGGTTCTAAGTCTTTGTGGCGTTTACGAAAAACACATACCGAAACATTGTCTTCTAACAAGTTCCACTGCTGCAGTCTTGATCCAAGTAACTCTGCCTTACATTTTGGAAGTTCTAAATCTCTTACAAGATCATTTAATTCTGACTGTGTTATTTTGTGCGGTTGGTGGCATGACGTGCTCGGTATAAAATCAGGATCTCTTGACGTTGATGGCATATCTTCTTCCTGACGAATCACTCGATCGCCATGATCTGATTCGTTTTCTGATTCGCAAGTGTAGGATTCCGGGGGTTTTGGAATAGGATTTTCGTCACTGTGAGGCACAGGTCTCATCGCAGATGGTATGTTTGGGTAGTTAATAACCGATTTTTTTTTCTTGGACATACCTGTGGCTTGTTCAACACCAGGTACCATGCAAAAGTAACAATCATTAATATGATTTGTAGGCTCTCTCCAAACCATTGGGACAGCAAAGCGCATAGACCGTTTTTTGCCATTTAACCAGTTCCTCGTATTACAGCAGATGTGGGATGCCCACTGTTTGTCTTGATCACCTAGTTTACAACCGAAATAAAGCTGATATGCCTTTGTTATTAGTGGAGTAATAGACCGTCTCTGAGACGCAAAAGTCACATCACCACATACGTAACAAAACTGATCTGGATTGTTTACACACTTTCGAGACATCTTGCATGAACGCTGTCAGCCAACTGAGGAAAAAATGGCTAATATAAAACAATATAATGTACACGTATGTATAACGTAACACAATCATGCCAATTACATCATCTTTCCTTGCCGAATATAAAAATGTAGCACGTGCATTCTTGTGAATTACAGTATATTAACACTGTCACAGCAGGAACACATATAATTACCGTATCTCTAAAAATTGAACTGATATTGAAAAAATAAGTTTCATTCCGGTTTTAGCACATTAAAAATAGTAATATTTTGTTGATTTTATTTAGGATATTTTTTAGCTGTTGATCAGTGATATTAGTTAATCCTGAGTAATTTTTGACTAACGGGACCTCGGTTGGCCGGGTGGGTCAGAGTGTCGTGCTACTGATCAGCCGGCCGGTATTAGAAATATATATGTATAAGAAATCTAGTGACTGGCTGCATGGACTCCTAGTCCTAACGCCAAAAAAAAAAAAAAATAATCGCCAACAAAGTGCCCCGATTATTTTTATCCCCATTGGGGTAATCCGAGATTAGAATGATTTTGGTGAAACTGGACCTTAATATTAAACATAAAAAGGGGTTGCACTCAAAGCTGCAAAAATTACAAGTTATTCTAGAGGGAGGCTTTGAGATAGCTATTTTCTTAAATCCTATGTCGTTTCAAGACTGGAAGTATATCAACTATCTGCAGAGTGGTCTAGACGATGCACCAAAAGGCATCCCTAGAGTCAACTTGTGAAAATGAAGTATTGAGCTTGATACACGTTAGTAGTAGTAGTGACGGGGAGGACAAGCCTGGCAACTGGACACCCTCAACCCTTTTGCCGACCCCAAAAAAATTAACGTTGGTAGTATGTTGATTGTTAGTTGAATACGGGGTGGACATGTTCAATATTTGGAGATGTCTTGTTATATTGTCTATAGATTAAATTGTTTTCGTGTGACCAACATGAAAACTGATAGCGTGCGGTTTATGAGGAATGCAGTATGTTATACTCGTATTTTCTACTCAATGTCCATAGTCACAGTCTGCAATCTCGCTAATTTACGCCATAATTTTATTGCCACTAGTGTTTCTTAAGAATGAGATACGTTAAGCGGGAGAAATGAAGCTGCATCACGAAGATTTAGTAATACTGACTTTCCTGAAACATCTATTGCACTTTTGAAGTGAGACGCCTCTCTTGACAAAGTTTTCGGAGAAAAAAGGTTTGAACTCCCTACGAACAAAGTAGCATTAGGGCTAATAAATGAGGACACCTAAATCTGTTGAAAGCGAATATAGTAATGTAGTGTGTTAGTAGTGAGAGAGGCCGGTAGTGTGCTTAATTAAAATTGTAATTTAAAATTTGGTAGCGCCTCCCTTGGGTTAACTCAGTTGACTGTAACCACTACAAAAGTCCAGTTATAGAGCTTCATATAAACCATTCAAGTATTTAAAGATAAATTAAAAATGTCCAAACTTTAAGAAATGCACTTGAACCCTCCCAGTAACGAAGCCGTGAAATGCATATAGTCATTTGTTTAGTTTGATGATGTCTATATCGCATACATAAGAAACGAATTTAAAAAAATAAAATCTCAAATCAAAAGCGGCGCAAATTGACAGGTGGACCTTTCTGGTAGGCATTCCGCTAAATATCGCAAGAACCATAAAGTAGAACCGGGTTCAGACGTTACAATATTGTTTTCCTTTCCAGTGGACTAAATGAACAAGAACTCGAAGGAACCATAGTCGACTGCAGTAGTGCTACAGTGACAGACACCTTCGTCAATCTCATTCTCTAGCTAGTCGAAACATGCTCCTGCACGCACCGAACGTTGCCATTATCCTGATGACTTTATGTACGGTGTCGAGGGTGGTAGAAGCCGCCCCTCAGATGGGCTACGACGATAATTACAGCCCTTTCGTGAAACAGTATACGCGAAACGTGACACTGAAGCAGGGCATGCTCCAAGGTAAGTGTTGATGAATTGATTTTTATGCAGTTTACATCAAGAATGTGATTAAAATCGTTAGATCATGCGAACACTTTTTTAAAGTATCATCTGGATCCGCTTCACATAGTTGCATGTCTCAGATATTTTTTTTTCTCTAATTGTTCTATTAAGATGTGTACCTGTCTTAAAAAAACTTTAATGAAATCGGACAAGGTATTATTACGAGTTTTGAGGAACATTTCTCATAAAGGCAACACTTTACCTATACTTATATCGATCTTTTTGTTGTCACTATCCAAGCAAATACTCCATATTGGAACGCAATATTCTTGTAGCAAGCTCCCACGTCGTTGGTATCCCTACTTCCCTACTGTAAATGAGAAAGTGTTGATGTTTGTTACTCAAATGCCAAGACGGCTGAACAGACCTGTTTGAAATTTATTACAGATTATAGTCTGGAATGGCACATAGGCTACTTTTATCTCTGAACATTACTTTGATGTTTCTCGAGCTACAGCCCATACAGCTCAATGGACTTTGACATGAGGTGTTTGATGCGGAATCTTCAGTCGTTGCTCCAACCAAAAAAAAATGGAATGTTATACAGTGTGTTTCAGTTTATTGTTGCATAACTTTAAGGTTGGATAGAACTTTTAAAATTAATGCATAAAGTCTATATAAACATGGGTCGAAAAATGCGTGGCTTCCGAAATACAGGGTGTTTAAATTTACTTTCTAAAATAGTTTTTCTTAAGTATTTCGAACAATATTTGATGTATAACAGTGAAAATTGGTATACAAGAGTGTTTTGGTACGACAAAACGAACCATTGGCACAGTTTTACTGTAGCCGCTAGAGGGCGCTCTCTACTGTACCTGTAGTGTATTAAAATGACCGAAAATTTTTTCTTAGTACAATTTTTTGCTTTTTGAATAAAAAAAACTGATTCTTCGCACTTTTAAACATAAAAAAGCTTTCTTGTGAATTTTTGTTATTGTTAGCCATTTTTGAGATATTTCGATTTTTAAGGTTCGATGCATTTTTAATTATTTATGATAAAATAACGTTAAAAAGTCAGTATCTCGATAATTTTTAGAAGTAGGCTGTGCTTGCAAATATTTTTGAAATTGAAAGCAGAATAAGGTTAAATGTCAATTAGTTGACAGTTAGTTTTGTTGTCTGTTGAAACCTGAAACGTTTTTTTGTAATTCTGAATGCACGAAATTTAGTTTCTTTTACCTGCTTTTTTTTGTAAGTTTTATGAAAATGCCATTTTTATTCTCCAATCAAGAGTTAGCGGATATTCATTTTGTGTATGGCTTTGTAAATGGAAACGCAGCAGAAGCAGCCAGAGAATACGCACGAAGATTTCCAAACAGACGACATCCAACTCGCTCAGTATTTGTAAGAGTGCATCGGCAAATAATTGAAAATGGTTTTGGAAATCTCCAAAGGGATCAAAACGTAAATAATCGTCAGCACAGATTTACCCGTATGCTTCTGGGTGATTTTGATAGAGATCCGACCACAAGTGTTAGGAGAGTTTCTGGTGCCTTGGGAATTTCAGCAAGCCATGTTCACCGTGTTCTTAGAAATGACCATAGACGTCCTTACCATTTGCAACCTGTGCAAGGACTACAGCCAGGGGACGGAGAACGAAGAATCACATTTTGTCAGTGGATTCTTGATAGAACAGATAATAATAGGGAGTTTTTAAGTAACGTTTTATGGACCGATGAGTCATGCTTCACTAGGCGTGGAATGGTAAATTTTCATGATCAACATATTTGGTCGCATGAAAATCCGCATGCAGTTCGGGAAAGAAACGTTCATCGTGAATTTAGTGTGAACATGTGGATTGGTATCTACCGTAATCGACTATTTGGACCCTACCTCTTGCCTGCAAGGTTAAATGCTGCGACCTTCTTGGAATTTTCAAAGGCTGAACATGCAAATATGTGGGATGATGTTATGTTAGATTTTAGAAGATTGGCTTGGTTCCAGCTTGATGGTTGTCCAGCTCATTATTCGAGAATAGTTAGAAACTGGCTGGACGAAAATTATCCAAAAAGTGTACCAGACTCCCGTAACCACAGGAGATATGCTAATAGACAGAATAGGAATGCATGTGATGATATGAGGCCTTATTTGAATAATGCTATACCACGTTCGATCATTCGTAGATGTGAATTGTGTATTGAGCAATTGGGTTTACATTTCGAGCAACTACTTTAGATTTTGTATGTTTGTCCTAACTATCCAATAGCATTTTAGTTGTAAATAATTAATTTAATTTGTTAAAAATAGTATTGGACAATTAAACAAATTAATATTCTGTTTTTTGTGTTTATTTGGAGTTAGGAATTATTGTTGTGTTTAAAAACACAATCTAAACGATCATCTTAATTACTTGTAATGCCCAAACCGAAAATGTAAAAAAAAATATTATTTTCCCATAAATAATTAAAAATGCATCGAACCTTAAAAATCTAAATATCTCAAAAACGGATAACTATAACGGAAACCACACAGGAGAGCTCTTATATGTTGAAAAGTGCGAAGAATCAGTTTTTTTATTCAAAAAGCAAAAAATTGCACTAAGAAAATTTTTTCGGTCATTTTAATACACTACAAGTACAGTAGAGAGCAACCTCTAGCGGCTACAGTAAAACTATGCCCATGGTTCGTTTTATCGTACCAAAAAAACCCTTGTATACCAATTTTCACTGTTATACATCAAATAGTGTTCGAAATATTTAAAAAAAAAACTATTTTAGGAAGTAAATTCAAACACCCTGTATTTCGGAGCCACGCATTTTTCGACCCATGTTTATATAGACTTTATGCATTAATTTTGAAAGTTCTATCGAATCTTAAAGTTATGCAACAATAAACTGAAACACCCTGTATAAGTACGGCATCTACACGGTGTATTTACTGCATTTCGACATTCGTCTTCTTACCGTGATTTATATTTGTTATACTTCGAGAGAAATCTATATAGTTTCTGTAGGATTTTTTCTAGAATGTTTGAGAGCATGGTTAACAAGCTTCAGTTTGTTAGGATTTAAAATTTAAGGGACAGGTATAATTGACGCCAGCTTCCAGTGTTCAAGGTGATATCCTTTTCCATAAGCAAACAGTTACTATGCGAGTAATGAAAAATAAAGTTATCACTTTGGGCATCGACAAACTACTTCTGTTTTAGAACCCCTTCTCCAAAAAAATGCGTGATTGCCAAGTTTTCGGGATGTTCGTGTATTTCATAGACACCCTCTAAATATACTTAGGTTTGACGATTACTTCGCAAATGTAGTAGTAGAGAGACATTCACATTTATATGTTGCTGCATCAAAATCAAAATTAATGTTATATGAAAGATAACTATTACCAAAGTAACTATTTCATTACTTTGTATATTGGATTCCTCCGAAATTAATCTCCGTCAAACCAACGTAGGACGTATGATCTATACCTCACACTACTTCCACAAGAGCAGATAGAATAAAAGATAATGACTTTGAGACAGTGACTCTTGATACAAGAACGCTATTTTTAGAAAAATATGTATACGTCATACACAATCATTACTATTTATCTCCAGGTGTTATATACGATCTCCACTTCTCTTCGGCTGATGCGCGACCGACTCCTGTAGAAGTTTTCAGGGGGGTACCGTACGCTGCACCACCTGTTGGGAACCTACGCTTCATGCCTACAAGGCAAGCGCCATCTTGGAGTCAAACTGAGCCCAAGCTGTTCGACAAGTTTGCTCCTGTTTGCCCGCAAAGGTATGTGACCTAATGTGAGAAGAAAAGGTACTACCAACTATGAATGTTACGTTAAACGTACCAGGAAACAAACACCATTTTTACTTTCTGTTAACTATCCCCTTCTATATACAGGGTTGAGTATTATTGTGGGCTTGGTCAATAGCCTCGTTATTACGCATTTCATGTAAAACAATTAGATACAAAAATTGTAACCAACAATGACTTAGAAAATATTTTTATTGCTACAGGAAAATTCCTAACTATACTGAGTGACATATAAATCCGAACACCCAGTTTAAATGATTTTATTTTAATAAAAGTTGGTGAATGTATTTATCTTACTGTAGATAACAAGTGAAAAAATTTTCAGCCTTATCAGTTGGACATTCCGGTTTTTATACTGCTTTCTTTTAATTCACTAACGCTCTAAAAATGAATATTTCAGCCGCAGTAAAGAATCAACGTTGGCGGATTTTGGTACTTGACATCCTTTACGATCGGTTACGATGCCTAGAGTACGGAGACCTGTACGATTTCGTCAACTTAGTGAGTTTGATAGGGGCCGTATAGTGGGACTTCGGGAAGCTGGACTTTCTTTTCGGGCAATTGCAGTTAGAGTGCAAAGAAGTGTAGACACTGTGGTTAGGTGTTGTCAGGCATGGCTTCGAGAAGGCCGTACGCAAAGAGCAAGGGGCACTGGACGCCGCCGTAGAACAACAGACCGTGAAGATCGCCGCCTAAGATTATTGGCCTTAAGGGACCGTTTCTCCACTACCAGGTCCATTGCAAATGAATGGTTTGCAGAACACGGAAGACCTATTGCGAAGTGATTACCGATGAATGAGAAGTTTTGGCTTGTTTTCATACCGGCCACACTGGGTCCTCCATTTAACTCGAGAACACCGACGTAATCGCCTTGAGTGGTGCAGACAACGGTCACTCTGGGATCAGGAATGGCACAGTATTGTCTTTAGTGACGAGTCTCGATTTTGTTTAGGCATGCACGATGGTTGTGCCAGGGTTAGAAGGCGACGTGGTGAAAGGACGAATCCACCGTTTTTTGTTGAAAGACATGTTCATCACACTGTTGGAGTTATGGTTTGGAGTGCTATAGCTTATGGTTCCAGGTCACCTTTAATCTTCATCAGAGGGAACATGAATGCGCAGCGTTATATCCACGAAGTTCTAGAACCCCACCTTTTACCCTATCTTGACACCCTGGCAGATCCAACTTTCCAACAAGATAATGCCCGACCACATGTTGCAAGAGTCACAATAGACTTCTTTCAACATAATGATGTCACATTGTTACCATGGCCACCAAGATCTCCCGACTTATCCCCAATTGAGCACGTGTGGAATATGATGAGTAGGAGATTGTTCAATTTGCAACGTCCTCCTCAGACTCTAGAAGCACTTCGAGAGGAGTTGGTGGTTGCCTGGAATGAGATACCACAGGAGGATACTGACCACCTGATCAGAAGCATGCCTAGGCGCGTTGGAGAATGCGTAGCACATCAGGGTGCATCCACACATTATTAAAGGTCAAAGGGCTTTAAAGCAGTGCAATCATTTTGAAATTTTTATCATTTACTTATTATGCTTCATTAAGTACTTATACAAAATTTTATTAAAATAAAGCCATTTAAACTGGGTGTTCGGATTTATATGTCACTTAGTATACGTGGTGACTTAAACATACAGTTTTTTTATTGGAAAGCACTGCATTCCCTTTTAGACTCAGATATGCCCTTTCAAACGAAGCAATTTGATACAACATACCATAGGCTTTTATTTCCAGATTGTTGAAATACTGAATAATCAATCTAAAAAAAACACTCAACTTTGTCAAATCGCACCTCCGCAACGGTTACAGCTAGATTACTGAACGTTTCGTTAAAAAAAATATTATCCCATATTTTCTCCTTATCACACACCTTGTCAGTTTTCTTGATAGTTCATATAGCGTATTTAAGCAGTCAAAATAGTTACTTTCAAAAATTTTCAAACGGAATCTTCACACTTTTTGATTTCCCTATTCTTGAGGTTTTTTCTGATGTTAGGCATATTTATGGGGCTTATATGACTTGCTTTTAAGTTGCTGGGATATATGGACACTTTTTGACTTTTCGACTTCATTGCATAAGGCTAGATAGATTTAATTAACAACTAATGAAAAATCTAACGATCTGCCGCAACCAAGAAAATTCGCAAATTCTATTTTTTCTTTGTCTGAGAGGTATTGATTTGATTCATCTTGACCTCTGATTTGCAAACAGGTTAACTGTAACCCAGAAACCGATCGTACAAAACATCAAAAGCCTCATATTAGAGAAAAGCATTCATAAACGAGTATCACGGATTGTGAAAATGCACTGTGTGGTCCATTTAAAACTGTTGACAAATCGTGAATTTTGTGTCGTGGGCCACCCTGTATAAGCTGCTTAAAAAACTCAAAAAGTAACTGAATAAGAACTTATTGAGACCGCATCATTTTTTTAACGAAAAGGTTGGGACAGTTGCGGAGGTGCGAGTTGTGTTTTATTCGATATTTTGCCAAATATTGCACTTGAAAGGGTGCATCCAAATTTGCAATAAGAAGTAATGCTTTTCATTTGAAAAAATGCATGTTTGGGTGACCGCATATTAATGATTTACCATGTGAAAATAAAAATATTTTCCTAGCGAGGGGAATACTGTAGGCTACAATTTCTAATCAACCTTTTTGTATACTATGCGCAACAACAGCGTTATCGACCCACACTTAAAACCCGCCTGTACGTATCACAAGGTAGAATAATCATCTTTTCATTCGACACCACCATAAGTGCACCGCACGGTTACGATACTGGCTAATTCACAAACCTTTGGTACATATACTAAGTGACATATAAATCCGAACACCCAGTTTAAACGGTTTTATTTTAATAAAATTTTGTATAAGTACTTAATGAAGCATAATAAGTGAATGATAAAAATTTCAAAATGATTGAACTGCTTTAAAGCCCTTTGACGTTTAATTATATGTGGATGCACCCTGATGTGCTACGCATTCTCCAACGCGCCTAGGCATGCTTCTGATCAGGTGGTCAATGTCCTCCTGTGGTATCTCATTCCAGGCAACCACCAACTCCTGCTTCTAGAGTCTGAGGAGGACGTTGCAAATTGAGCAATCTCCTACCCATCATATCCCACACGTGCTCAATTGGGGATAAGTCGGGAGATCTTGGTGGCCATGGTAACAATGTGACATCATTATGTTGAAATTAGCCTATTGTGACTCTTGCAACATGTGGTTGGGCATTATCGTGTTGGAAAGTTGGATCTGCCAGGGTGTCAAGATAGGGTAAAGGATGGGGTTCTAGAACTTCGTGGATATAACGCTGCGCGTTCATGTTACGTCTGATGAAGATTAAAGGTAAAGGTGACCTGGAACCATAAGCTATAGCACCCCAAACCATAACTTCAACAGTGTGATGAACATGTCTTCCAACAAAAAACTGTGGATTCCTCCTTTCACCACGTCGCCTTCTAACCCTGGCACGACCATCGTGCATGCCTAAACAAAATCGAGACTCGTCACTAAAGACAATACTGTTCCATTCCTGATCCCAGAGTGACCGTTGTCTGCACCACTCAAGGCGATTACGTCGGTGTTCTCGTGTTAAAGGGAGGACCCAGTGTGGCCGGTATGAAAACAAGCCAAAACTTCTCATTCGTCGGTAAACACTTCGCATGCCAATAGGTCTTCCGTGTTCTGCAAACCATTCATTTGCAATGGACCTGGTAGTGGAGAAACGGTCCCTTAAGGCCAATTATCTTAGGCGGCGATCTTCACGGTCTGTTGTTCTACGGCGGCGTCCAGTGCCCCTTGCTCTTTGCGTACGGCCTTCCCGAAGCCATGCCTGACAACACTTAACCACAGTGTCTACACTTCTTTGCACTCTAACTGCAATTGCCCGAAAAGAAAGTCCAGCTTCCCGAAGTCCCACTATACGGCCCCTATCAAACTCACTAAGATGACGAAATCGTACAGGTCTCCATACTCTAGGCATCGTAACCGATCGTAAAGGATGTTAAGAACCAAAATCCGCCAACGTTGATTCTGTACTGCGGCTGAAATATTCATTTTTAGAGCGTTAGTGAATTAAAAAAAAGCAGTATAAAAACCGGAATGTCCAACTGAGAAGGCTGAAAATTTTTTCACTTGTTATTTACAGTAAGATAAATACATTCACCAACTTTTATTAAAATAAAACCATTTAAACTGGGTGTTCGGATTTATATGTCGCTTAGTATATTTTGATGCCAAGTTAAATTATACCTAACATGTTTCTTATGTTTGTTGCAATTTGAACAAGGCACTTTATGCAATACTAGAGCTAAAGGATATAATGGAGGAAGGAGGGCTGCTGTCCTTATGCGTAAGCTTATTCTCGGGTTAGTTATGATATATTGGCGCGGGGGGTGGTATTTTTTTGCGCAAAAGCGAATCTTGCAACTAATTTTTATGACATAAGGAAATCTTTAGAAATAGTTTCAAAGCAAAGTGTCACAATCTGCTATTTGTCGATGTAAATGCATTTACCTTTGAGTTATACAATAATAATTATCCTACAGGTTCCCAGATATAGGCAAGATGTCTGAGATGAGAAAACAACAGTTCGAGAAGCTGCAATCTCATCTTCTAAACCAAAGCGAGGATTGCCTGTATCTAAATATATACGCACCATATCAAGGTAAGATGACTTTTATTAGGAGTTTTAAAAATAGCCGCGTCATAAATTATCGGAGCACCTTATGTTGGAAACTCGCATTAATGGCTCTTAATTTTCCCTCATTTCCTAAATTTTCTCGAAGATAAAGATTTAAGTGGATTAGTACTAATTATGGATCCGGCTCAGACGTTCAAAAATAGATACTTGTTTTTGTGATAGTTAGGCTGCAGAACCGATTTTGCCATAGTGTACTACAGAGTAACGCAAACTCGCGACGATATCAGGCGTTCGCGCATTACATGACGCAAGGTATCCAGCAATGAGTTATAATCTGGATACGCAAACATTTTTGATTTCTCCACACATTTTTTCATTAAATTTAATCAGATCCTTCATTTCAAAACAGTCATAAGTCACACAGTTTAAATTTTACAGAACAGGATACAACTGTGTCATTGACAGTTTTAAAAACACTTTTGGGCTTAATGTAGTATTTGAGCTTCATAAAATCAGGATATCGTATAATCTTCACAGTTTATCAATAAAAATGATCGAAAAAGCAGGAAAAACTCGTCCTGATTCAGGTTGTTTTAGCAAGAAGTTGGTTTGGAACTGTATCAATCACAATTCTAAATTCAACACTCAATTTGATACTAGTCATTCTTCTAAAGACTTAGATTGTCCAACTTATAAAAAACATGTTACATACTTGAAATCTAGAATTGAATATGAATAGTGATAAATTCAAGGTTTTAAAATTTGGTCATATAAACTGCAGATCAGTTTTATCAGGATTTCATGAATTTAGTACACTGGTTCAAAACAACAACCTTGATATTGTTGGAATATCGGAAACGTGGCTATCAAAAGATATATCTAATGACCATATAAGAATGAATGGATACAACTGCTATCGCTGTGATAGAGATGGGCGAGGTGGTGGGGTTGCAGTCTTTGTAAACAACCACTGCAACTCTTCCATAATTTCATTTGAGCAAGGCCCAAGTCTTGAATATATATGGTTGAAGGTGCAGCTTCCAAAACAAAAAATTGCTATTGGTATATTCTATCGGCCCCCACATAGCTCTGTTACAGAAGCCGGTAATACCTTTGATAACATGTTGCCTGCCATATTAGCTGAATATGATGATATCATCCTTGCAGGGGATATCAATGTTAATTTGCTTTTAGTTTATAACAACTTGACTAAATGCCTTGATTTTTATAATCTGAAACAGGTGATATCTGAACCGACTAGGATAACTGAATCGACACTCACTCTCTTAGATCCTATTTATTTGAGCAAGCCTGAAAGTTGTCTTAGGAGTGGCACTATTAATGCTGATATGATTACTGATCACTGTTTGACCTTCTGTGATATACGTATTGCACTTCCTAAAAATCAACAGAATTTTGTGACATTCAGGGATTTCCATAGTTTAAATGAAATAGCGTTTGAACAAGATCTCAAGAGTTTTCCATGGTGGCATATTATATCGATAGATGACATTGAAGATAAAATTAACCTTTTAACAGATAGTATTTTATGTTTATTTAATGTTCACTGTCCAAAAAAGGTAGTCCGTGTAAACAAAGCTCCAGCTCCTTGGTTGGATGATAATATTAAATTTGTATTCAAGCAGAGAGCTGAAGCTTTGTCAAAGTTCAAACATGATCGTACAGCCGCCTCTTGGCAACAGTATACATATTTCAGAAATCGTGCATTAACGCTCGTGCGAAGAGGAAAAAGAGATTATTTACAAGCTGTTCAAAATCAGGATATGAAAAAGTTTTATAAGGCCCTAAAGACTTTCAAGGTACAATCTCAGAAAGATTCTACAATTCCCGTGAGCTTATCAGATCCCTATAAAATAAATGAGGCATTCATTTCAATTTTCGGGAATAGTGATTTGGCTTGTGCTGATAAAATTGCATATTACCGAGCTAATAAAAATAACTCAAAATTCAATTTATTAAAGTGACTATTGACACCGTTGTTAAAATTATACATAAAATAAAATCAAATTCTAGTGGTTCAGATGGCATAACTTTGCATATGATACTACTATGTATACCTGAAATTGTTGTGTACTTAACGCATATTGTAAACTGCTGTTTAGAGAGGGGATATTTCCCCAATCAGTGGAAACGTGCTATAGTTATTCCGCTACCTAAGTGTTCTGATCCTACTAACTATGGTCAACTGAGACCTATCAGTCTGCTGCCAATTTTTTCTAAAGTATTGGAACGCGTTATTTACGAGCAGCTCTGCGCCTACTTATATTCTAACAAAATTATTCCATCTAAACAATCTGGATTTCGACAAGGTCATAATACAGCTTCGGCACTTTGTGATTTAACAGACAATATAACAATGGCACTTGATAACCAAAAAGCAGTAGCTCTCATACTTCTTGACTTTACTAAGCATTTGACACCATTAATCACTCACTTCCTGTATCTAAATGCAGTTATTATGGATTTTTTGAAAAACCTCATTCGTTTATTCAAACCTATCTTGAAAATCGGTATCAAAAAATTCGTCTAAATCAACAGTACTCTACGGAACAAAAAATTTGTTCTGGTGTACCACAGGGATCGGTCTTAGGACCGCTATTATTTTCATTATATATCTCAGATTTAGAAACAGAGGTAAAATCATGCAGCATACAATTTTTTGCAGATGATACTCAAATTTTCTATTCATTTAGGAGTAATGACTTGGAAACGGCAAATAATAAAATTAATCAAGATCTTGCCCAAATAAAGTTCAGTAGTAGTCATAATCTTCGTTAGAACCCTTTGAAGACAAATATGTTGATATTCGCAAATAGAACAAAAAAGAATACCTTAAAAAAGGACATACAGACATACATTTCAAAGGTAATAAATCAATTTCTGTGGATCATTCGAAAAACCTAGGTATTATAATGGATGATGACTTAAAATTTGTCGCACACGTGAACTATCTAATTACTCAGTGCTACGCTATTCTCAGAGTTTTATTTGCAAATAAGGCTATATTACATAAATCTGCGAGAAAGCAATTGTGTGAATATTTCGTGTTTTTAAAGATATCGTATTGCTTAGTGGTTTACTATCCCTATTTAGATATTATAACAAGAAATCGTATTCAAAGTATTATGAATACATGTTGCAGACTTGTAAATGATCTCAGAAAATATGATCATATATCGAATGCCATTAATGGACTCAAATGGATGAAAATTGATAAAACGTATAAGTACCAGTTCCTAAATCTGACTCATAAGGTTCTTTATTTAAAAACACTGGCATATTTAGTAAACAAATTCATACGTAGAGGGAATATGCATCGTATTAATATTAGATATAGAGAGACTTTTTCAATTCCACGCCACAGCACGTCTCTATTTCAGAATACATACATCTACAATGCGATCAAATCATTAATTCTTTAGAGCGCAGTTTAAAAGAAACCAATCCATTATCCAAATTAAAAAAAAAAGTGAAAGAAGTTCTTCTTAAACAGCAGCGAAATCGGTTGTAACCCATAAGTGTCCTCATATTTTTCTTATGTATTTACTTGGATTATACTTTATTCTGTCGTTATTGTATACAGGTGCCTATTAATTTTCAACAAATTCTTTTTTTTTACATCTCGTATTGTTAAAGGGGTTAGATGGTAGAATAGATATATAATCTAAATCTCGCCTCCTGTATTATTATATAACCTAAGCAAAGGAATCATAATTATGATGTTGTTTTTGCTTGTTATTGAAAATTACAAATATTAGCATGTCACTTGTCTTTGATTTGCGTGTCTTGACATCTTTGAGGCCATAAGACCCAGCCAAAGCAAACACCTTAGGACAATGGAATTGCCTGTCTTGCAGCCAGATTCACTTTTATCACTTTAGTTGGAAATTTGGAGTTTGCATCTCATTTAATTATATGTATTCTGGCCCTATACCATATATATATATATATATATAGGGTATTTATTTTAAAAAATACAACTATTTGATAGCACATTTCTGAGATACCTTGGATACAAAAAAATTCACACTAAAAACATCGTGTTAGACTCTATAACTTCTATTCAACTTGTTCTTCTAGAAAGTCATATAAAAAAGTTGAAGGAGTCAATTTATAGCCAGATTTAGTTCAAAATTGTGTAAAGATATGTGACTTTTGAGGTACTAGAAATCTACTTTTGTGTTTTGGCTACATGCGAACGAAACTTGGTTCAACCATGTAACTTGGGACGATGAACTTGACAATAGAAGTGAGAAAGTCTAAAACCACATGAGATCTCATTTGATTAAAGAGGCTGGACGCTCAGAGCTACCCGTAAACCCCAGTAATGAATTTACAATGGATTTGAAATCTAGGCACCCGATTAACACAGGAAGCAAGCAGTGGCGAAGCGTCCATGTAACCATCTTAAAAAAATATTTTATGACTAAGTACTATGAAATAATTTCGTTTATTTGTTTACCAAGAGCGATATGTAATAGTAATTCAGTAAATAGCAAATTAGCTCCACGAAAGTAACGCGCCCTATAGTATCTAGGTTTTGCGAACACGATGAAGCTGACTGACACTTGGTAGTCTGTCGGGGACCGTCGATACCGGCTCGTGTCTGATCGCGGTCGCCCGATTGCGTGGGTAGCTGCGACTATTATGTGTGCTTGTTACCATTTTTTGATTTGGTTACTTACTTCTCACTCGTTAGTGACCGTTGTGGTTTCCGGCTTTAGTATGCGTGCAATTAAACATGGACGAATGTCGATGCGTAATCGATCAACTACTTAAAAAGTCATTCTCCTTTTATAATTTTTAAGAAAAAAAAGGAGATCATTGAAAATGGAAGACAAGCGCCTATTTTGGATAATTTTAAAAATGAATAAAGAACGTAGTTTGATATTTTAAATTAAGTTGGTATACAGAGTGTTCCATAATTATTGCGACAAAATGATAGGGGTTGTAGAGGGCATCAAAATGAACAATTTTTCCTTATAAACCCCTGTTCGGAAATATGCCGTTTGGGCTGCAGCAAAAAAAAAGATCAGTTTCTTGAAACAGCTTACCTACAGTAATTGCTCAAAGTGTCCTCCACCTTGCTCAATACACAGCTGTGCACGATTGTTCAATGATCGGCGAA